TGACGCCACCGCGCGGCCAGAACGGCCCGAGAGGCCTCCAAGATTGCCCGAAGAGGCTCCGAAGAGAGCCTCAGGAGGCCAAGACGACCCAAGATGGCCCCAAGATGTCCCACGATGGCCCTAAGACGGCCCAAGATGCTCCCAAGACGGCCCAAGAGGGCCCCACGAAGCAAAAATGAATGATTCTCCTGACGTTTCCGAAGGTTTTTGGCCTTCTCGCGTTTTCGGCTTTCCGACGCTCCGAGACGGACCAAGAGGTTCCCAAGATCACCCCACGACGGCCCTAAAGCCTCCTATGACGGCCCAAGAGACCCCCAAGACGGCCCCAAGACGGCCGAAGAGGGCCCCAAGACAGTCCAAGAGGCGCCCCAGACGGCCCGAAAGGGCCCTAAGACGAGAGAGGCCCAAGAGGGAGTCCACGAACCGAAAACTCCACCTTTCCGCCCCGAGAAGGCCCAAAGAAGGTTCCAAGAGGCCCCAAGAGGCCCCCAAGAGGCCCCAAGGAGACCCCCAAGAGACCCAAAGTATACCCTCAGAGGCTCGAAGACTTAATCCTCACTACTGACGAGTTTCTTAAGGGACCCAACTTCTTAAATCTCCTGGGGCTTCCCGTAGCCCGTCGCTGCCCGTCGCGGTTTGCCGCATGACTCTTTCGGATCAACGACAGGTCCGACACGGACCAAAAAAGCTCCAGGAGGCGTCCAAGATGGCCCATGAGGGCTCCGATGCGCAACAAGATCGCCCCACAGCACCCAAGATGCCCTCCCCCTCCTCATCGCCCGCCACCCCCCTCTATTCCTCCTTTGAATCCAACCGCCTGAACAAGCACCCACGACGCTACCCGCGCAGCCGCCCGCGCTAGAAAATAGGGGGGCCGGCGGCAGAGGGCGAAGCCCTTGAGTAATCATCAAACATAATCCAAAGAGCACGAAAAGTCGTTATCAACCTATTTTTGTCACTCCTCTTAAAGACTCCTCCTGTGGAGGGACATGCCCGACTTGATTGCGGCCAGCGCAGACGTGGCCAGAGGGTCGCAACAAATCACTGGTGCCCAGGCGAGGCATCCGCGCGGCGCTCGGCGTTGACGTTTTGCAGCGTTCGTGGCGTCAACAGACCCTGGGGATCCCGACTAGGTGGAAGGGGCCCAGGGACACACCAACAAACACAGACCTCCTCGCGCTGTGAAAAAATGTCACGACGGGAAGTTTCAAGGTTTTTTAGGCCTCCAGGGGCCCTCGCTGGGCCTCGGGAGCGTCGAGAAACAACTAAGGACGAAAAACTGGTCCCTGGGAAGGGGTCCAGGCTCCTGGGGGTCACTTCACAAAAAATCACGTCGGGGGTCTGGGGATAGGCAAACATCCAAGGAGTCCCCATATTTTTCATATTTTCTGGATTATCATCTGCCTCTCCAGTTCCCGTCTATGTTCCAGCATTTTCGTGGGATTCGTCGTGCCTTCCCCAATTAGGCTTTGCCTGGGGGGTTCTTGCTTGGTTGAAAATTAGTGCCTCGGGGGGTTACTTTGCCCGTTGCTCGGAGGTTCCCCGTGTTCCCCGGGTTCCCCAGGTTCCCCGGGTTCCTTGGGTTCCCCGTCCCCGGTGCCTCCTCTTGTTTCGCTGCCCGTTTCTCGGAAGCTCCTCGGGTTCCCTGGGTTCCCTTGGTTCCGTTCCCTGGGTTCCTCGGGCTCCCCAAGTTCCTTGGGTTTCACGGGTTCCCTGGGTTCCCCGCCCCCGGTGCCACGTATTCTTACTGTGTCCGTTTCAGGCAACGCCAAGCAATGTCAAGCAATTCCCAACACTGCGCCCACGCAATAGGAAGATTTCCCCTCATTGGGGTCGGGCCAGGTTCATTTGTTTCTTTGTCTTTTTCCCCTTCTGAATCGTTGCTTGACGGTCCTCGGGCTGGGGGACGGCTGGGGGACGGCCTCCAGAGGCCGAAAGCTACGGAAAACCAGTCGTCGCATTTTTTGTGGTGTCGCCTGGATCACAGGGAACGCGGGGATGAAGAGGATCGAGTTCCAGATCACGCCGCATAGCTGGTGCGTCGGCAGTGCAGGGCGCTCCTCCGTCCCATCGTTCGAGAACGTACTGCCCATAGCTTCACAATTTCCCGTTCGAGGACGTCCACTGACCAAGAGAGGCCATTGCGCCTCCTGGCGCGCAGCAGAGCCGCGCAGAAGTGTACTTTAGTATAAGATTCACCATTTCTGTTGTCAACGCAGCTCTGACGTGCACTACTTTCTCTCTCTCTCTCTTTCTCTCTTTCTCTCTCTCTCTCTCTCTCTCTCTCTCTCTTTCTCGATCGCTATTTCACTATATCTCTACCTTTCCACTGTACGCATCTCTTGTTATGTCTCTCTATGTCTGTTATATCTCTACATACATACATACATACATACATACATGCATACATACATACATACATAAATACATGCATGCACGCATGCATACATACAGTCATACATACATACATATACACATATATATATATATATACATAGAG